ATTAAATAATAATTTCCATTTGATTTTCAGGATTATCTTTGATGTCAGGAGGATGTTTCAAAACACTTCATGGAACGTACTATAAATTGTAGTGATTGTACATTTTATATATGAACACAACAACAACAAGATTACATTTGTATAGCGCCTTTCACGTCAGGAGGACGTTTCAAGCCGCTGGACAGAGTAAAGCATTTCAGACCCGAGCTGCGGTCAGGGGGAGAGAAGGGAAGGGAGGAGAAGGGGGGTGGCCGATGGCATGGTCGAAGAGGAGGGTCTTGAGGCGGGACTTGAAGAAGGCTAAGGAGGGGGCGAGGCGGCCAATTTACATACAACAATATCCCACAAACAGCCATGAAGTGAAGGACCAGTTTTATCTGAGAGATTTTCACCAGGGGTCACCAGAAGATACTCCCTTCTCTTTTCGGGGATTTTTAACCTCCACCTAATGCAGCGATCCCCCAGCAATGCATCAGAGTGTCAGCCTAGACTATGAGCGCAAAGGTCTGACGTGGGGCTTGAACCCACAACCTTCTGACTCAGAGGTGAGAGTGCTTCCAACCGAGCCAGACTGATACATAATATTTGCTCTAAGCAAGTCTGCCCTAAAATGATCAAAGATGCATCTAAACATTCTCAGACTCAAAAACTTTAATGCATACAGTACTTCTAAATGATCCAATTAAGCTATATAAAAGCCAACACTGCACAACACAGACACTTCAGTGAATAGCCCAAAGCCTATCATGATGAAGACATCTGCAACCAGCATGATCGTGGTTACATACCGTACCAGTTAAAAATGTACAGACCTGCATGGTTAACATTGTTTAAAAATGCACTTGATCACTGAGATGAAATTACAACTGATTCAGTAGCATAGCTCCTAAGGCACATGTCATTCTTACCCAAGGAACATAAAAAAACAGGAACAGGCCATTGAACCTAATAACCGAAAGGATATGTATTAGTGTCAAGTTCTCTGGGACGCTACCCTGCGTGAGGGGCGCTGTATAAATGCAAGTTGTTGTTGTTGTATTAAGATGATATAGCCAATGCAGTGTTGGAGGTGTGTCTGCAATGTTGGAGGTGCCATCCTTTGGATGAGACATTAAACCAAGGTCCCATCTGCCTGTTCAGGTGAATCTTAAAGATCCCTTGGCACTATTCAAAAAGAGAAGTGTGTTTCTCCCGGTGTCCTGGCCAACAATTCCCTCAAATAAAATTGGTCATTAACTTCATGGCTGTTTGGAACATTGCTATGTGCAATTTGGCTGTTGTGGTAACCCCTAAAGTAAATAGCTCTGCCAGTGTAACATCTCTTTTCAAGAAAAGAGAAAGCCAAGCCAGGTAACTAAAAGTCTTGTTTGACAAATTTAATAGAGTACTTTGAGGAAATACCAGAGATTCGATAAAGAGAAACATCAGATGTCATATATGGAATTTCCAAAGGCTGTTGATAAGGTGTTTTACAAAAGACTTGTATAAGATATTAAAGTACGAAGTATGGACAGAAATGTGGCAGCATGGATAGAACATTCACCGAGGGCAGAAAACTGGAGGTAAATGGAAGCTTTTTTCAGAGTGAACAGTTGAAATGTTCTCCAGGACACTTATATAAATGATCTTGACATTTATAAATGTATAAGGGGCACAATATCAAAATTTGCAGATGACCCAAAAGCAGGGAGTGTGACTAACTGTGACGAGGACTGTTACGTGACTTCAGGGAGACCTAGAAAGATTAGTGGATTGGGTCAATAGATGACATATGACATTTATTGCAGAAAAAATAGGAGCTGATGTATTCCAGGAAGAAGAATAAGGAGAGAAAATGTACATTAAATGTGAAAACTTTAAAAAGAGTAGAGAGCAGAGAACTAAGGGTTAATGTACCCCCCAAAATAAATTGAATCTTAGGTTTTATAAATGGGAGCAAAGATTATAAGAGCAAAGAGGGTAATGCTAAACCTGTATAAATTGTTAGTTAGGCTGCAGTTGAAATATTGCATCCATTTTTGGACACCCCCACAGTTGGAAGGCTGTCAGAGCTGCAGAGAGGATGCTGATGAGATTCACTGGGAACATACCAAGGTTGAGTGGTTTTACTTATGAAAAAAGACTGGAGAAAGTGGGGCTGTTTTTCGTAGAACTAAGAAGATTGAGAGGAAATGTGATAGACGTCTTTAAAATTATAAGGGGTTTCGATAATGTAAACAGGAGAAATTATTTCCACCGACTGGTGAGTTGATAACTGGAGGGCATAGATTTAAGATAATTACTAAAAGAGCAAAGGTAGAGGTTAAGAGAATTTTTATCACATCAGGAGAACGTCTCAAATTGCTTCACAGGATACACCATAAAGTGTAATGACTGTATTTTGTAGGTGAGCTAAGAAGCTTCTCTCTCATCAATAACAACAACAACTTGGATTTATATAGCGCCCTCCACGTTGGACGGCGTCTCAGAGCGCTTTACAGGAACGGATCCTGGGGCCGAGCCAGGGGGAGGGGGAGGAAGGTGACCAAAGGTGTGGTCGAAAAGAAAGGTCTTCAGCCGAGACCTGAAAATAGGAAGAGACGGGGCGAGGCAAAGGGAGCGAGGAGGGGAGTTCCAGAGCCTTGGGCCATAGCAGCTGAAGGCACGGCCACCGAGAGTGGAGCGGAGGACTCGGGGGACAAGGAGGAGGCCAGACCCGGAGGAACATAGGCAATGGGCACTGTTGTGAGGAGAGAGGGGGTCAGAGAGGTAGGGGGGGTGCAGAGGAGTGGAGGGATTTGAAGACAAGGCTGTTGTCTTGAAGTCGATCCTCTCTGGGATAGGCAGCCATGCAGTCTGGCGAGGACTGAGGTAATCGGGGAGCGGAGTTTAGTGCAGAAATGAAATAAATGAGAGTGAATGTTTGATTCACAGCTGTATCTTGTGAGTAATTTAAATTTCATAAGCAAGTTTTACGCTTTTATCGTTGTTAACATCTTAGCTTTTTATCCTCTTCCCAATTGATGGGAGTGATTATGTTTAGAATTAGTTCACATGAAACTTTTTTTGACTTGGAAAAAATGTTCTGATTTGCTGCCCGGGCTGCAGGAACAGTTTTATTTTATGTTGTTTATGATATGAAAAAAGATTGTTTATTTCTTCATCAGAACCATTTTTATCATTTTCCTAACTATCCCACTGACCTTTCCATCTTTCAACGGATGTCTTTTATCCATTCCTGCATCTTTTTACCATTTTACATACAAATTACAATGCAAATTTACATCTTTGTGGAGAAATTCTGCCTGGGTCTAGATTTATTCTATTTTCTTAGTATTTGAGAGCCTCCAGAATTTAGTAAATTGTTGAATTCCATCTTAGCATTGTGATTTTCTGTAGTTTTTCAAAAAATTTACAATAAACCTAACTTTCAGCACTATTTAAGACGCTACCCCACATGAAGAATGCTGTATAAATACAAATTGTTGTTGTTGAAATTGGTTTTCCATAGCTCTTAAGAGAATTTACAGAAAACTGGATTAAATTTTAAGAGTTTGCCAACTTTTGGACACTTTGAATTACTTAGAAAACATAGTAACTCTTGAACCAGGTTGAATTTCTATCCCTTTATTTTCGGTCTTTATTGGTAATTGGTATTGATCAGCTTTGTCTTTTTAGCCCCGTTATCTCCCTGTGACTCCAATTCTGATTTTTGTTTCTCATTCATGCATATTCAAAGGCTCTATAACTGCTGCTAATCTCTTCCTTTGATCACATGGAAAAAAAATATTAGCACACAATTGCTCTCAAGCTGTCAGTTGTATAACTTTGAAGTTATTCCATGTCTGTATTATGAATGGGAGAGTGAACTACAATATGTAACTAAGGAGGAATTCACTACTTCTCTGTCTCAATCAATTGGAATTTTCAAGTCTGAGATAGATAATATCTGTTAGGTAAGGGTATCGAGGGATATGGAGAAAAGGCGAGTAAATGGAGTTGAGGTACAGATTAACCATGATCTAGTAGAATTTGGTTCAATATTTACTATGTTTTCTCAGTAATTCAAAGTGTTCAAAATTTGGCAAACTCTTAAAATTTGATCCAGTTTCCTGTAAATTCTCTTAAGAGCTATAGAAAAACAATTTCAACAACAACGTATATTTATGTAGCATTCTTCATGCAGGGTAGCGTCTTAAAGTGTGCTGAAAGTTAGGTTTATTGTAAATTTGAAGAACTGCAGAAAATCACAATGTTAAGATAGAATTCAACAATTTACCAAATTCTGGAGGTTCTCAAACGGTAAGAAAATAGACTGGTGGAACATGCTCGAGGGGCTGAATGACCTACTTATGTTCCTATGTTGCTAATCCCTGCATGACATGCCACTAACATCAACAAATGAACCCCATCCATTTCTCTTCTCTCACAGGAGTAACAGTGTTAGATGATACCTTGAGTTGCAAGTAGGGGTTTCAGGGAAAACAACCCTTTATAACCCAACTTTGTTCAGTTAAAACAGCATTTTGTGAACTGCCCTGAAATGCAACAGATGTGAAGGTACCGCCAGTTGATTCAATGGCTGCAACAACTGGCTTTGGGGCAAAACTATTTGAACGAAATTGAGGGCTGATGCTCAACAACAACAATCGTTGACGAGGATATTGGCAGGAGTGGAATTTCTAACCATGTTCTAATTATCACATCACGTTCTGTGTTTCTTATCCCTGGGACTGACCCTCCTAGGTGAGATGCGTTTTCAGAGAAATGGGGTGAAAATTTAATTGAATATTCAACCTGGTAACCACGTATTTGGCAATACAAAAATGAGAACAACACGTTGAAAAATATATAAGACTGTGGACTGTGTGGCTCACATGCCCAGGATCGTCACTCAGCAGTGTATTTTGCGTAACCAGTGTTGTGTTTCTCACTTGCTACAAACTCTTTTGTTTGAGTCAAGTGCAATGACTTTTGGTGTTTATTAACAACTCTACATTTTCATTTCATTTCATCCCCAGGAAAACTGCAGACAAAGAAACTGACGAAGCAGGTAAGTGACTCATGTCGATGATTGTCCCTGTGATTGTCCTTGACTTCATATGATTGGCAAGTTAAGAGTAGACTGTATTTTCCTGATCTGTATGACTCAGTTCCACACTGGGCAGTTAATTTATCAACTGAGTCTCTTGTTGAGCCCTGCAAGAGTGCTTTTAATCTTCAATCATTACTTTTAGATTCAATGTAGAAGTCAGCTGACAATTCGAATGAGCTGGCGCTCAGTCAAGCTTGCAATATGAGCATAGCTTCAAATAGGTAGTCATACCATTTAGGGCTCATTAATATACCTAAACGTTCACTGAATTCCTTAACGAGTCAACATAAGATTGTCAAAATAAGGACTATAATGGTGAATAGAAATGAGGGAGAATTTATTTTTACAAAAGGATGAAAGGCATGAAGAACAAATTCCCAGCACAACTTGGCGGAACAAGGAACTATAACAAGGTTCAAAAATGAAGTAAATGAATTCCTAGAAATTAAAATAATTTAAATAACAAATAAAAATAACTCAGTTTGTTTGTTTTGTAGGACATTGAAGAGAAAGTTATTTTAACTATAAATGATGAAATATAGTTGTAGGTGAGTTGAAACAATTTTTTAGAAAGCTGGATGGGTAAGGTAGATGGATCACTGGTCTAAGAGGGCTTTAAATCCAATCACAAAAATAATTGGAAAATGTAAGAAGAATCAGATTTTTTGCATTTGATAATTTACTTTACAGTCCACTAAACTCAATTCCTTTATTTTGTAGGACGTTGAAGATATAATAACAACATCTATGAGTATGAAAGCTTCATCCAGTCTTTTCAGAGACCTCGGTGATAATGGTATGTTTCTTTGCCTTCAAATATTCTGTCTATAACTGTTCATGTGGTTGTTACCTTGCTCGGTGCCCTATTTAAGACACCATGAAGATTGCCATAACGTTAGGTGTTTATTTGACTTTTGATCAAATTGACCGATGTATCTTTCCAAAGAATAATTGTACTTAATTAACATTTGTATAGAACTGAATCGATTCTTCGAGTCAGTTAGCAAGGTCTTGAGATCTGATATTTTGTTAACTGTGCAGAAGATAATGCAATGTCCTGAAAGTCAAATTGAGTGCTAATAGACAGAAAGACATCCAGCACCACATCATTCAGGACAAGTTTGCTTGCTTGAAGGACAGAACTGCAGGTTGAGGCATCCGATCAATCTGTTGCCTTCAATTACAATCCACTGTGTCAGCAATTATAAGTATCCTTTATTTCTCAGGATTTTGAATATTTACTACCTGTTACGTGACTCCTGTCCACTCTTGTAAAGTCAGTGGCAGAAGTAAAAAGTAATCACTTTTATTTGACTCATCCTTGCACTTTATTATTCAGAACTCGTTTTCCCCACATTGTTATCTAGCTGTCAAATCACTTTGCTTATTTGGTTGTATCACCAGGAATACACTCACCTGCTGCACATTACGGGGCCTGAGGACAACTTTCACCAGTTTTGGTGACTGGCAATGCAAAGCTGGGTTCCTCTGCTGCTGGGGCACATTCTGGTGCTAAATCATAAGCATGAAGTGTGAGTGGCTTCACAACATAGTGGTACATTTGATATTTATTGGGTTGAATGTAACCGGAGGTGGAGTAGGTGGACCCCTGCAATGCCATTCTCAATGCAAAGCTCGTGAAGTTTAGCTCGCAAATCATGACGTTCAACCATCGGTTAGCAACGTGCTGACATTTTACGAAAAGAATAAAAGTCACCATCCCGCTAATGAGTAGAATGTCAGAAGATCCACCTGAAACACATATTGATACATTCAATGTGATGAATACGAATTACAACATAGATGAGATTCAGGGAAAAATGGAGTTTCCTTCAAATACTTGTCAACAGCTTCCACAAAAATACTTCAATTTAAAACACCGGGTATACAATAGCTATGTTGTGGAGTGAACTCAATGTCATCCAGTAAAATGAGCATTATCTGACATCGTGTGGGAATTTCAGGTATTGCATGCAGAACATTCGCCTTAATTCCTGCATAACCAGCACAGTACAATTTGCGCCACGTATTAAAAAGACACTTATCTTTTGCCACTTCATTCCAATTATTCTTTGAAAAATTTTGCTAAGATATTCTTTGGGCAGAACAATTGTGAATTTCTTTGGGCTACAAGCACACACTAGGGTTTCACAGGGATTGTGTCTGTACTATATTTGCTGGGTGGTCTCGTTGACTGTGTGTCTGTCTGCATGACCTCGCACAGCCTGTGCAGCAACGGACTTATTTGTTCTGGTTCTGAGAAGTGCAACTTTATACATTGGGTTGTCATTATGTGTTTAGTTATGCGGAATCCTGCAGCTCAGTGGTTAGAGCACTCGCCTCGCAAGCAAGAGACCTGGGTTTGATTCCTGGCAGGATGAATTCACAAGTTTCCTTACTCCACGTGCCTGATAATAATCCCTCGAGAAAAAAACCTAATAATAAATTGGTCACTTCAATCCATGATTGTTTGTGGAACACTGCTGTGTGAAATTGGATGCCGCGTTTCACCCACAAATGTCAATTTACTTTACAGTCTATTCTGTGAAGCGCTTTGAGACGTCTGGAAGATGTGAAAAGCGCTATATCAAACACAAGGATTATCATTATTATTTATATTAGTTCTGCTCTTAATCTTCGGCAAACCTATCTTACAACAACAACAACAAATTGTATTTATACAGTGCCTTTCACGTCAGGAGCTACCTGAGTCCTCATTGAATGAAGCTTCAATGAGTGCCACAACGGACTTCACAATATGTTAAACCAGATTAAAAGTAAATCTGGTTTCTGAGACATTAGACAATAGCTGCACAGTCTGTATTGATTTCCTACAGTCATGGGAGTTATTTGTAAAAAAAGTAATTACTGTGTCTGTTGGCAGTATCAGTTCAGCTGGATGAAAACACATAAATACAACAAAATGTGACTTTGCCAGACATTATATTAGTTCATGTTCCTCTTCAGTCTCCATCTTAAAAGATTTAGGAACGGTTTGTCTGTAGCTCAGTGGGTAAAGCACCAGGTGCCCCCATGCCAAGAAGGAACCCAATTTTTTATTTCTCATCTGTGCTAAGGTGACGCCATCACTTCTTATCAAAGAAAAATGTTTCTGGAGCCCAAAGCCACTATAACCAAAAGACAACCCAGAACGTCATTATGTCTCTTAAAACTCTGATGTGGGAATTATTCAAAAAAATTATGAGTGGATCTTGAATAACCCATAAAAACCCAAAGGGAATTTCCTTGGTGTCCTGACCAACAATACCTCAAATAAAATTAGTCATTCATTTCCTGCCTGTTTGTGGGACAAGTTGTGCAAGTTGCTGTGTTCACCGAGAAATACTGTTACAACTCTTCACAGTAAATCGTGTGAAGCACTTTGATACATCTGGACGATGTGATAAGGCAACTATATCAAAATGCAAGGATTATTATTATTTATGATCACATTTGTGGTTCCTTACACAGAGGGTGGTGAAAATGTTTGAATGCACTCCCCAGAAGGCCACACAGGCAGAATCAATTAAAATGTTTAAAAGGGAGATAATAGGTACACGGGAAGTAAGGGTAATGAGGCATATAGAATAAAAGTGGGGAAATGGGATTAAAAGATGTCCCATGAGCTAATCAATGATCGTCTCCTATTCCTAGGAGCATATCTACAGAATCAAATGCTTTGAGTTCAGTAAGCAATGATATGCATAGAAGGTGCCCACGTCGATAACTGAGCTCAGCTGAAATGGCAGTGTTTTAGCCTGTGTGTAAGCACGGTTTAGTTGGTATCACTCTCTGCTCTGGGTCAGAGGTTCTGGGTCCAAGCCTCACGTTAACTTCAACATGTATTCTTGGCTGACGTTCCAGTACAGCACTGGGGGGCAGGCGTGGTGGTGGGGGGGGTCTCTTATTGTCTTTTGGATGAGATACTAAACCCAGATCCCGTCTGCATATGAAAGAATTTGAAAAGAGAAGGGAGTTTGTCTTGGTGTCATAGGAACCCGGTAGATAATTAGGAACCGAAAGCCATTCAACCTATCTCTTCCACTCCACCGCACACTATCCCAAGGCCTATGAAATATAAGCCTTCCTTAATTTCACCATTTCGATCAATATTTCTACTCCCAAGTATCTTATCGATCTCGCTCTTTAATCTTTCAATTTATTTCATAATTCTAAACACTTTGATCGAATCATCCCTCAGCCATCTCAGCTCCAGAAAATACATTCCCAGGAAAACTAGTGTTTCACCTTCTTCTCACAATGTTTTGTAACTTTCTCATGAATCTATGCCGCACTCTCTCCAAAGCTAAAAGATTTTTTCTGAGCGCCCCAAGACGCTGTTCGGCATGAAGAGCGCTATATAAATGCAAGTTGTTCTGTAAAGAGGCACCAAATATGCATGCAGCACTACCAATCGTTTGTCCTGGTCAACAATCCCCAAGACTGTTTGGGACGGGGCATGCAGGTACAGAAGGCCTCACAGAATCAGCAGTAACTGTTGGAAATACAAGAGCAACTGGCCACTGGCAAGTCAGTTTCTGGTGCCTTGCGCAAACGCTTAAAAGGTAGTCAGCCAGTGGGCACTTGAAGTGATGTCGGCAGTGACTTGACGAAGCACTGACCGGCTTTTTTTATAATATGTCCAGTCATGATTCAAGTCCAATTTTATGAACTCAAACCAACGCGTTACGTCTAATTTATTCGACCATGGAACATTTCTAATCCCACATCCCTTCCTTTTGTCCATGTAATCTGCTTCCCGAGTATTTATCTATTTCCTCTTTAAATATATTAATTAATTAAACCTTTAAGGCCTTCTGGGAAAGTGCATCTAAAATGATCACAAATATGACTACATTTACTCATTGTCCAATTAAAAGAGATTATTAAAATAATGCAGTGTTACATTTTCAAGACTGAAGAGATAGCATGGAGCAATAGATATATTTAGGCCCCGGTCAAAAGATTTCCAGTCAGAATGCTCCTTTTTAAGGAATTATGTACCATTGTTTACTCCAAACTGACTGAGATGATGAGTTGTTTGAAGAGGGTGTTGTCTGCATTCTATTAGCAGTTAATTCCAAGCTAAAAATGGAACACGCAAATTTTCCAGTCAAATCTGCAAAGAAAACTACTTTCACCTTGTGGAGAGGATGTGTTCCTTAAAAAAACGATGCTCTCTTTTGGCAACAGGCCGAGCAGTACTATTGATGCAATCTAGCAGCTTGGCAGCTTCACGTGTTACCATTCCTCAGGAGAATTACATGCAGACTGTTCTGTGGCATTCAAGGCTGCCTGATTTGGCATAAAGATGAAATACTTGGAACCTTCTAATATTGTAATAATTCTCAACTTAGCTGCTAAACTTTGCAAAGCAATTACAGTACCTTTTATTCTGTACTCAAACTATATTTAGCAAATTGATAATGGAAGAGAAACTGAGAAAACTCAAACAGCCATAAATATTTACCATTGATTCATCGAACATTTATTCAATAATTGGATCTGATTCGTGTTATTGTTTAATGGGATTCCTTAATGATGGATTCTGGAATAAGGGATCCCGTTAGAATTCCTGTCGACCCATAACTTAGATTTCTTATTCAAGAATCCCCATTAACAAATACCACAAATTAGACCTGAGTGTATGTATCACAGCCTCTTGTTTGATTGTTTATCATGTTATTAACATTTCTAGCTTGTTCTTTCAAAATAACTAATATCAGAAGGACTTTCCCCGTCTGGAAAATTTTGGATAGAATATTCCAATCTATTTTACCTTTTATGCCTGGAAAC